GCAATAACCCCAATACCATACGGTTTGCCGACGATACACAAAGAATGAGAATCATTGAGACTGAGTCAACAACAAGCATGGACCATCTGCCTCAAATTAAAGAAAGTGAATGACAGATTATCGAATACAATGAAGAATTTATACAAATTTTTCCAAAGAATCAAAGGCACCAGTTTGGAAGAAAACGAGCTTTTGATGAGCGTTGATGTACAGTCCCTATACACTAACATCATAGGCGCAAAAGCACTCACGGCACTTGGAAAAAGATGACATCTTAGAGACGGAGCAAATCCGCTCCCGCTTAATCATCTTAAAAATAAGTACTACATATTTCACGTTCTACGACCGCACCTATGAGCAAATATTTGGTCTGCTTATGGGCCCACCACTCTCACCTCTGTTAGCATCATGGACAAGTTAAACGATAATTTAAAAATGTCACTTCAGCAGCCAGCAGTAATTATGCTATATATGGATGGCTACTTTGCAATTATGTCGAATAGAAGATTAAAATTAGACGATTTCCTGATCTTCATAAATGATTTGGATGAAAAAGTCAAATTTATCATTGATGTGGAAGAGAACGGACACTTGTTTTTCTTTGATGTGGAAGTCATTCGCTTCAAGGAAACTCCCAACAAAAGACTTTTCTGAAAGAAATCGCATGTTAGATTAACTCTTAACTTCCAGTCGAACCATACCTACGAAGTGAAGATTGGAATACTCTGAGTATGGTCATATAAAGCCTATGTCTCACTGATTCTGAGTTATGGGAAGAGGAACTAGAAAAACTAATACAGATGTCTCTTGGAAACGGATATACAGAAGAAGCAATATAGTGCAGCATATGGATGGGGACGAAGAGATGGAAGGACGGAGATTATTTAAGGAAAACAAGAGGAAAGTGGTATGCTTAACAACGCAGGATATCAGCCAACACATACATGAACATGACCAGAGTACCCTAGGATTAGATGGAAATGTCAATTTGAGAGGCGAGAGGAGTGTGTTTCTCGCGATTCAAATGAAAAAAAGGGAAGCGGTGCATTCTTACACCAGCGGTTATGACTTAAGCCGGATACAAGGCCCCAAATAATGCGACACAATGTGAGTGGGGATGAGAGAGAGGATAATTGAATCATGGGCTTGAAACCAAGGGAGAGGAAGATTCCTAGGTCCTGGCATGTGCATGGATATCATCTGCTCTAAATCCTCGAATATGGCGTAGTCGAGGACGGGAATTGTAAGCTTTTAGGCAGCCAGAGAATGATTTTGACATGGAGAGTAACTGGGTTTTGACGAATCTCCTGAGATAACATTATTGTTTGGACTTTCATTTCGTATGAAATTGTATGAGGAAAAGATTGGAATGTCGATCTCGCCAGAAGAGGTCAATTGATGATGTCTATCATATGATGGACGAAAGCTCAACTCATTTTTACCTGAAAACAGGGGGATCTTGTGGAAGGCGTCAATCTCAACGTCATATAAAAGCCAAACGGCTGCAGTACAATGGGATTCAACTTCCCTCTTCCGGTGAGACCGACCTTTGAATCTCTTTTTTATATTCTTTTGTACGAAATGAAATTCCAAGCAATAGTGATCTTGATGTCTAGCGGCGACCATATGACCAGCGGGGTAGGAGAAAGGGGGCAGATTGTAGGTCAGGACCCCTGCAAGCCGTACCTCGTACTGATGGTGACGATGATTAAGCTTTACAAAGCCCACTTGTAGCGATGTACTCTTAGACGACATTGAAGGAAACGAGAGCATAAAATAGTGTGAATAAATAGAATAGTCATATGCTTTGGGGTTGGGAGAGTATGATGCTGCACTAGAAGATAAAACTAAAAATAGGGGTGAAGAGTGATGCCACAGCGGTTGAACAGAAAATTGGTCAAGGGATTGCCTTCATTTGTCACTGATAAATTGTAGCTAACGTTGGAGCCTATCACAGACGATGACGACGAAGCGTTTGGGAAAGTATCAAGTCACTGGCCCGAAACTGGAAATCATGAATACTATTGCAAAAGACAAAGGACTAGGCACCTTCCACATGGTCCTCACGCTGCAACCAAATTACGGTAACAAGGTCGAACTAACACTATAAGGTTAAAGGAGACTGCGAACAAACAGAAAGCCACACTATTTTAATCTCTATAGCTACTCTTCACTTAATTTTATAAAACCCGAAGAAGGTCAGCTCATGCTTTAATTATGTAATTAATCGCGTGTGAATGCAATTTTGATGTTTACACTGAATTTTCTTCTTAGAGGTTTGGTTAATAATGTTCGGGATAACCAAAAGGGTTTGACTGCTGTAGATGTATGATTAAACTGAAATCAAAATATATTTATCTAAGTGCATTTAGTTATTTGCCTCTTAACTAGAATTATGCCTACTTAGTAGTTTTACTGTGTGAGACTTAGATAAAAAAATCAAAGCTTTTGCACAATACGACTTCTGTTATGATCTTATTTTCAAAGTCGTAAGACAATAAATGATTCGCTCTTTTCCATATCCATTTGCGTTTTCAGTACCGAGATTTATATGCCCACTGTGAATTAAGGGTGAATTTAGTGAATTCATGTAACTCTAAATCTTGTTCTTATAGTGTACTTTAGTTGTAATTTCTAGATTATTTCAGTTGCGTCCTCAACGAAACATTATCAGCTATTCTTTCCCAAACATTAGGATATTAATGCTTACGAGGCTTTGTTATCTTCACTCCAGATAAACTCTTTTCTAGTTATTTACGTTAATGTGACGTTCAAATGAATAAAATTGACAATATTTTCTAATACTTTTTCTTATGTTTAGTTTCATTTGGCACTTCCATGAATAAATACCCATATAACTTATATCCATCAATACATATCTAAATATCTTTTACTCTTTTTTTATCATGAATTTCTGCTTTTATAGGGTCTTGATAAAGAATGGCCATCTCTGTTTGCCTTAATTACTCACCTGACCGTGCTACCAGAGATGTTGCCATGTCCTCTGCGCCTACAGCCAATCTGTTCTGCAGCAAACCCTGGTTATCAAAAGACCGAGCTGCCTAAAAATCCTGGTAACCTAGCCACCTGTAGCTTTGGTCCGAATCAATCAGCTTCTGCTATATCCGATAGTCTGCCCACTTGTATAAACATGGACTCTCCGATTTGCCCTGCCGAACCTGTTGTTCGTACGGGCCAAAGATCAGCGTCATTACATTCAAGTGGAGCCGGGCTGTTCTTTGAAGACCGTGCTATTACGACTGTTTCTGTTGCTCCTCCTGTTAGTCCCCAGCACCGACAGTCGGCGGCGGAGTTGCCTTCGAGGCCTGTGGCTCCAAGATGTGCTCTGCGAGCCGATGTTCTCATTTCAAATGTACCAGCTTGCGCCCACTCTTCAATTCGGGGGCATCAGACTATTTTGCAGACGCAACCGAAACAACAACCACTGCCACCGCAACCTCAGTCAACTGTCTTTGCGTCTGGAGTCAGAAATATAAATGGTATATTTTACGGCGTTCCATCTTCTGGTTTTCCTTATAAGATTCGGCCTTTAGCGCCTGAAACTGTTCCGACGGCCAGTGAACCAGATAACAAATCTGATCGTTCTGCTGAACCTCTCATTTCAGAGAAATGCAACGCATCTTCCATTCGGCAAGTTCCCCATGAAGCCAGAGCTCCAATTCCTAGACGGTCAATATCAGCTGAATGTCGTGCCGGCACGGATCTGGTGGATTCAGAATTAAAGCCTGTCTACGACGGTGGATTCCAGTTTAACAGTGGTCAGATCACCGGTCGCCAGCTAGGATTGGTAAGCTTAAGGCTATAGTTATGCTATCTCTAACAGCATATAATGGGTACTATTGCCATATATCAACTTCTACTTAGAACTGATGTTGATTCTTTTTTACCGGCAATTGCTAGTCTTGAGCCATTATTCAATGTCTGCTATTGTATGTACGACAATGCCTTTACATTTTACTTCTCCTTGTCTCGCAAAAGGCTTACTCATCATGGGTGGACTACAGTTTTTGCCTAGCTTAACTTGAGGAGTATCGTTACCACTCTACTGCATGGCAATGGGTGCCAGTGGGTCACAAGGCATATGTGATAAACTAGGCCTTTCCCAAATATTTCATTTTTCTCTCGGAGTAAATCCTTTTTATTTTTAACACCGTTTAGTAAGGGGTTATTTTTACCAAAGGGATATTTATGGAAATCCATAGCTCTACATTTATCTGGAGCGGGGATATAAATAAACGGCTAAAATCATACGTCAATGGAAAATGCCCTCCTCTCACAGTGTCCCCACAATCTACGTCTGAAGGCGAAATAGTTTACAAAAAGAGAAAAAATAATCGGAATTTACTATCGATAAACTATTCAGAAGCGGGGTTGAATTTATTTAGGATTGCTGAACATTAATGTTTCAGATTAGTCTCATTTGCTCCTAGAAACTCTCAGATATACAAATATGCATTAATATACTCGTCACTTGCATGGGAACTAGCTTCATAAGGATAAGTTTTGTTTACGAAGCGCTTGCGGTTTTAGTACACCATCATAGCGCTTGGAATGTCAGTGGGAACTTTCATAATCCATTTACCATTCAACTCCAACTCTTGTGCCCTGTTCAAAGCTGATTCCAGCACCTGTACTGGTAGTATTCTTACCCTCTTATGCTTCTTTACCATGTTTTGTTCTCCTGCACACATCGAAATAGGCAATACTAAGATGTAAAAAGTGAGAAATAATTTAGGAGAGAACATTCTGTTGAATTTATTTTATATAACAGGGGTTTTGTGATATGACTCCATTTTGAAAGGAAAGTTGGTAGGAAGGAATTCGTGATGTGGTCTCATTGGAAACCGAAGGGGGATTGCCGCGTATGGAAGACTGTTGAATTGTGCGAAGAAGTCCTCGACTCACCGTCCTACGACCCCGATGAAACTGTGCTAAGCTTTCGTCTGTACTGTGACAAACATAATCAAAGCCAGAATCCATATTTTACGAACTAGAGCAAAAATATATTAAACAAAGAGAAAAGGTGGCCGGTAGCAAACCTAGTCGCTTTTTT